TAGACGTATGGAAGATGGTGAGGACAGGTGTTACTGTTTGGAAGGGGAGTCCCCTTTCATTATAACATCAGGCAGTGAGGACCTCTCTGGGGTGCATTCTCTGGCATGTTTTGCCTGCATACCACTAGGTCCTGGTTGTGGCTCACTGCTCGATTTTCTCAACAAATCTGTCCATGGAAGATTGTTTTTCCCTTCTTCGCAAGATGTGTCTGTAGTGAGGCATCACATTGTCATTGAAAAGATTAATGCAATGCTCTACTACAGCTTTCTCTGGGCGAGTCTTTTCAATAAAAGTTTGCATTTCTTCCCACATCTGACACCACTTCTTAATGATTGCAGAAGGTGCATTCTGTACTGCCTCATCCTCCTCTACTGGAGAAACGTTCTCAGCTGGGTCTTCTTGCTGTTCCTTTTTGAAGGGCTTGGAGTTCTTCGGTGGTCAGTTCTTCATTGTGTTCTTCCACTAACTCCTCATCATCACCATCCAATTCCAAGCCCATTTGCCAGCCCAGAGTAACAATTTCCTCAACAATAGGCACATCATTTACAGGCTCAAACCCCTCAAAGTCTAGTTCTGTCACATTCAGGCCACAATTTTCTCCAGCCAGAGATCAAGGTTCTTTGAGTCACTTCTTGCCAGGCTTTGTCAACGAGTTTTAAGGCACTACAAATGTTAAAATGGTCTTTCCAGAAGTCTCTTGAGGGTGAGTTTTGTGGTTTGTCACTTAAAAACATTTCCGGAAAAGTGCCCTTTCATAAAGTTTCTCAAAATTCGCTGTGATTTTCTGGTCCATAGGCTGAATTAGGGTAGTGGTGTTAGGAGGAAGGAACTTTACTGTGAGAAAATTACTGTACAAGAATGTAACAACTCTTGTATATATCTCAAAAAAAAAAAAAAATATATATATATATATATCTCAAGATATTTTTCTATGGCCAGGCACACCACTTCATTCACCCACTCCGAAAAAAAATTCCTAAGTCACCCATGTCCTTTTATTAGCCCTCCACATGACACACATGTGGGTTTTCTGCACTTTATACTGTTTGAAAACCCTTGGATTTTCAGAATGATACACAAGCAAGGGTTTAATTTTCAAATCGCCACTCGCATTTGAACACAGCACAAGCATAAACCCATCTTTCATAGGCTTGTGTCCAGGCAATGATTTTTCCTCCTTGGTAATGTATGTCCTCTTAGGCAATCTTTTCCAGAAGTCCTGTTTCATCACAATTAAAAACTTGTTGCGGTAGGTATCCCTCAGCCTCTGCAAACTCTTTAAATTCTTTAATAAATCTTTCAGTTAATTACCTAAGTGTAGTTACAGGATGAGAGCTACGCTCGTGGTGTCCCGTCTTCCCAGCACTGTCATATAACGCTTTGAAACTACTGACGGTCTTGGCCTCCACCACCTTCCCCCCTAACTTGTTCTAACCGTCTACCACTCTGTTTGCGAAAGTGAATTTTCTTATATTTCTTCGGCATCTGTGTTTAGCTAGTTAATATCTATGACCTCTTGTTCTTAACGTTCCAGGTCTCAAGAAATCTTCCCTATCGATTTTATCAATTCCTGTTACTATTTTGTATGTAGTGATCATATCACCTCTTTTTCTTCTGTCTTCTAGTTTTGGCATATTTAATGCCTCTAACCTCTCCTCGTAGCTCTTGCCCTTCAGTTCTGGGAGCCACTTAGTAGCATGTCTTTGCACCTTTTCCAGTTTGTTGATGTGCTTCTTAAGATATGGGCACCACACAACTGCTGCATATTCTAGCTTTGGCCTAACAAAAGTCGTGAACAATTTCTTTAGTATATCGCCATCCATGTATTTAAATGCAATTCTGAAGTTAGAAAGCGTGGCATAGGCTCCTCGCACAATATTCTTTGTGGTCCTCAGGTGATAGTTTTCTATCTAGAACCACCCCTAGATCTCTTTCTTTATCAGAATTCTTTAAAGATTTCTCACATAATATATAGGTTGTGTGGGGTCTGTTCTCCTATTCCACATTCCATAACATGGCATTTATTAACATTAAATTCCATTTGCCAAGTGGCGCTCCATGTACTTATTTTGTCCAGGTCTTCTTGAAGGGCATGACAATCATCTAAGTTTCTTATCCTTCCTATTATCTTAGCATCATCAGCAAACATGTTCATATAATTCTGTATACCAACTGGTAGATCATTTATGTAGACAATAAACATCACTGGTGCAAGAACTGAACCCTGCGGTACTCCACTTGTGACATTTCTCCAGTCAGATACATTGCCTCTGATCACAGCCCTCATTTTTCTATCAGTCAGAAAATTTTTCATCCATGTTAGAAGCGTACCTGTCACTCCTCCAATATTTTCCAGTTTCCAGAACAACCTCTTATGTGGAACTCTGTTGAAAGCCTTTTTTAGGTCCAGATAGATGCAGTCAACCCAACCATCTCTTTCCTGTAATATCTCTGTTCATAGATCATAGAAACTGAGTAAATTCGATACACAGGATCTTCCAGATCGAAAACCATACTGTCTGTCTGATATTATATCATTTCTCTCTAGGCGTTCTACCCATTTAGTTTTAATTATTTTTTCCAATATTTTGACTATTACACTTGTCAATGATACCGGTCTATAATTAAGGGGGTCTTCCCTGCTTCCACTTTCGTAGATTGGAACTATGTTAGCCTTTTTCCACACATCAGCTACAACTCCTGTATACAGGGATGCCTGAAAAATCCGTTGAAGAGGAATGCTGAGCTCAGATGCACATTCTCTCAGAACCCATGGTGAAACTCCATCTGGACCAACTGCTTTGTTCTTATTTAGCTCCTTGAGCATTTTTTCCACTTCGTCTCTGGACACCTCTGTGCTCTATGTTGTTCTCTGGAATTCTTATTGTATCTGGTTCCCTAAAGATTTCATTTTGTACAAACACACTTTGGAACTTTTCGTTTAATGTTTCACACATTTCCTTTTCATTTTCCGTGAATCTATTTCCCATTTTCAACCTCTGAATATTATCCTTTACCTGCAATTTGTTGTTTATGAATTTATAGAACAGACCTGGTTCTGTTTTGCATTTGTCTGCAATCCCTTTTTCAAAATTTCTTTGTCTCTCTCCTCAGTGCTGGTTTCCCGCCAAACACACACCGAAACTACAACGTTGGTACAACGTTCGAACACGTTTTAACACTTCCTAACCAGTTTTAACAATCAATATAGCAAGTTGTAACAACGTTCTAATACGTCATAAACATGTTAAGCCAAGATGTAACAACTTTATTACAAGTTGTAACAAGCGGAAAATAGAGACAGTTTCGGTTTGTGTTTCCAGGGTTGTCTGAGCTGGCAGCCTCCCCATGCCTTGCAACACTATGGATACCACTTCTTTTTCTAAATTTTTCAAACCATTCCCTGCTTGCCTTAGTCATCGTATCTGCACTCGTTCCAGGGGTTTTCTTTACAAGGTTTTCGGGCAATACCCTGGCTTTCTCACAAATGATGGCCTCTGAAACACTATCACCCTTTAACTCCTTGTGTATCCAAATTAATAACAACTTTTCCACTTCAAGTATATGTGGTCTTTGTTTCGTGATTGTTCTTACGCCTTTTGCCACTTTAGCACTCAAAATGTCCTTCTTGCTAAGTATGGTGCATATCATTGACGTGGCTTTGTTGTACTGCCTACAAAGTTCAACAACACATGTACCATTTTCATGCTTCCGAATGATCTCTTGTTTTTCCTCTATTGTCATCCTCACATGCGTTTTCGTGCCTTGATCCTTACCACTGGCTTTCTTGGGACCCATGGTGAGATATATAACAACAACTTTTATGGTAAAATGGCCAAAAATCCAACAAAGCACTGAAAATCCTTGTGAAGAATTCAGGCAGAATAGTCACTGGGCGCGAGGCACTGGTAAACTGAGGGGCGATCACCGTGCCACCACATGCTAGGTCGGCCTGTACGCGTATCGGCACCCTCGCCTTCCGTGGCAAATTTCAGAGCAGGATATTCCGAAAAAAACTTGTATGCAGGGACACTCGTATTCCAAGGTACCACTGTATATCTTATGATGCAAACATTTGAATGTGCCACCTTTAAGGTAAACATTTAAATGTGGCCACCTTATTACACTTGGGTAATTACCTCGGGGAGTTACTGTATGTGGAAAATGTTGCTGGGTTGTACATTATCTTTTCTTTTTCTCAGCAGTGATAGGGATATGTTGGGTCATAGGATATGGATATATTTTACACTTTTATACTGCTGTATCTATGTACTATAGGTGAAGTGTAAAATACAATTTTGTGTGGCGACTGGTGACAGGGTGGGTGAACACATCACGCGCACTGAAACACCAAATGCCCATTTTTCTGTTTGCAAATCCATGGGTTGTGTGTGTACACATCGTGCATTTCAATGTCATTTTATTGAACAATGTCTCCTCCTTGGATTCATCCCATAACATTCGCAAAAATAAAAAATAATACAGTACAAGGTACTATGTTACTATCTTAATCAATAGAGCATTAATAACTTTGTATCTGAAGACTGGCAGCCTTGCCATATAGACTGCTTATGAAGTTGAAACTTATGTTAGACACAATGACAGCAAATAACGTATCTTTAAAACAATCATTCCAAAACCTACATTGTTTTATAAGTTCTTACTTGGGTGTATGTGCAGGTCTGGTGCATACAAGCACCTTCCCCCCTCAGCCCACCTTAGGTTGTATCTCTATGCAGCTGACTGTTTAAAATTTTGGGAGCCACAACTACATTTTTGCGCGTTCATGAATACATCGATGATCCTATTTTTTCGAACTCCTATAACTGGTACTAACGAAAACATCAGGTGTGAAGACTTGTGTACCATTTATAATATTTGGAAAAAGTTCTTAATAAATGAGCAATTTAATATTTAAATTTTTCATGAAGAGTTAGGTTTAGTACGATTTTTTTCAGGAATTTAACTGAATTACCTAACTGGAGTTTATCTGTAACAGGTAATTTTCAAGATGGTACGAACACGTGCTGATGCCGGAGCCACCAAAGTGTCTGCTGCCAAGGCTCCCAGGAAGGTATTGAGTAATCCTAGTGGTGCTGGTATGTCAAGTTCTTCCACTGGTGGCAAGGCAAGCAGCAAGGATAGGTGAGTTATATCATGTTATCGTGTGTGTACCATGAGAACTCACTCAACTGAACTATATGGAGAGAAGTAGATTCATTATATCTAGAATTTTGTTGGATCCATCAGACACCCTCTGCCACCCTGGCAACCTCCCAAATATATACCCTGTATACATACCCAAACAACCACTACCGCTGCAACACTCTCGCTCTCATGGGCGTTCGGCAAGCATTTAAGGGTTAAAAAGATTTTCACCCCCAAAGAGAGGAGCTTGGCCTAGTTTTACCTCACCACTTGTATATATATTTTTTTGGGTGGGGGGGGGGGCATATAACCACTGTAATGTATGGGTCTTCATGTTCTGTGCCTTTCACATGAAAACTAGGCAATATAGGCTATAGCATTTCCTTTCATTTAGTTGAGGACCTGAAAATTTTTGGGTGAAAATACCAACAGCTTGTTCTAAAATGACATTTTCCCCCTTTTTGAGCAAATTTAAAAAAATTTCTGGGCTGGCCTCCAAGCAGCTCCACAAGCTACAACCTGGAAGCAACCATTCAGAGTTGGCAAGGATGCTGGGTATTAGAAATCTGCAGAAATGAGCAAAAATTCCCACAATGTCCGAACTCCAATATCGTCAACTGCCTGAAGAATTTTTTTGAAATAAACCTTTCAAATAATTGTTTCCATTGCAATATCACCCCCCTAGCTACACATACCCATCACAAAATGGCAACTCGAGCAACTTGGGGCCAGCCAGCCAGCTCATTCAAAAGCCATCTTGCTTTGGGCCTTATAATGACAGTTCATTCTGGCTGTTGTAGCAAAGTTCCTCTTTTTCTGGTAACTGGCCTCTGATGCCATTTCCTTTTAGGGCTGTCTTTCCTATAAGATTTGGGTTGCCTCATCTCAAAGATTCCTGCCTCTGGACAGTGTATACACATCTGTTCCTTTGTGAGGCCTGTTGATGGATTGTGCTAGTTTTCTAGATGCGAGTGTGGCAATGCATCGTGCCTGTCTTTGAGCCGTCTTCCTTGATGCTTGGACTGAGGGTGGCTTGGTTAAATTTGTGACTGGTTTATTGAGGCTTCTGGGAGTTGACATCTTCCCTTGCTAATGGCTTGTTAACATCTAGGGTTGGTGTCTGTTTTGTTGAGATGTGTGCCTTGTACCCAGCCTACCTGTAAGTCCATTTAATGTTGGCAGGTTGAGCCTCCTCAAATCACATTTGCAATTGAGCATAGCTTTGCCTTTCAGTATGACATCAATGTGATCAGTTATACCGAGTGTGGGTCCATGGTCTTATACTATATAGTATGAGATACTAATGGTCACTCATCATTGTGCCTGTTGGGTGCTGTAGTCATTTCACCCTCAGCTGTGCCATGTTTGTCACTCCTGGCTGGACCTCTGGTTTAGCCCTTCCACTGTTCACATCATGCACGTACGCTTTTGGTCTGACTTCACGGCTAGTCATGCAGGTATGATTTAGAGGATCATCTCAAGGCTCTTAAAATGTACTCTGGAAAAGACAAGAAGTATCAAATATATTCCTGGAAGATACTGGAAGGCCAGGTCCCAAAGTTGCACATTAGAATAACATACTGGAGCAAAAGATACATATGGAAATTCAGAATAGAACCAGTGAGGAGTAGAGGTGCCTTAGGGTCAATTACAGAACACTGCATGCACATCAGAGGTCCATGGCTGTTCATACTCACAACAAGCATTAGAAATATTGCAGGAACAAATGTGGACTTAAAGAAACAATTAGGTAAGTTCTTGCAAGAAGTACTGGACCAGCTGGGTTGTAGTGGATATGTGGGCCTGCTGGCCACTCACAGTAACAGCCTGCTGGACCAAGTAATCACAAGTCGTGCCTGGCTCCAGGATGGGCTTTAGGAGTAGAAAAACTCCTGACACCCTCTCCAGGTATGCTCCAGGTACACTGCACAAGATTTAAAAATCCCGCCAGTACACGAGGCTCACATCTGTTTTATCAGGTCTCTAATAAACAGGTGCCATTAAAAAAAAAAAAGTGGACACAGTTCCTGGGTGTGAAGGCTCAGTACTGAGTGAGCAACGAAAGCTAGCATTTGCAGCATGAGCTAACAGCACCTTTGTCCAGCTTGTGTACACAGCATCACTTAAATGACAAATTATATAGGTAACTGCAATTATTTTTCGATGCTAGTATGACAAATCCTGACTGATAAATGCTATCTACTATGTTCAGTTCAGTGAGTACAATGCTGTTTGTGATGATCACAGCATGATGCAGACAGCCACAGCACTGTTTAGTGCATCTAAGTATCTTGAAACGACAGCTCATGTTCCTTTAGAAAATATACTTGCGTAAAATTATTTATTTTCATGATTTTGTGACCAGGATTTTTATAATAGCAGCATTATGCCCCGAATTAGAGATGTGTGTAGTATGGGGGGTAGGAGGAATTTTGTAAAGTGTGGTAGTGTTGTCAGCTGACTTGTGTGTAACTACTTAACACTTTCGCGCCCCCCGCGCGCCACCCCTCAACTATGCGATGTGGGTCCCAGCGTTTCACGGGAGCGCGCGTTAATTCTGAAATGTGTATACTCTCCAACTTTGTCACCTCAATTCTCGTCCTACGAGATTAAATTTGGTATCATTGTGTTTGCAATAGAATTCTCTAGAGGAATATTAGCGTATAAAATAAAAAAAACCTGGTCACGCTCCATCCGCCGACGAGTTGAAGACAGGCCACGCGTTAGTCGCGAGTGAGCGCCCAGACGCCTTCCAATTACACTCCCAATTCCTGCCCACAAATGTTTAGTATTTAGTATTTTAGTATATTTAGTATTATAGTTTAGTATTTTTTGTGTAGTAGTTGTACATCACATAAGCATTGTAGATAGCCATTTGCACAAAATAGGTCATTTTCTTTGTCCATTTGTGAGTTTTTCTTGTGAAGTGATAATCTTTGATCATTTGGTCAAAGTGGTCAACACCTTTCATGTTTGCATTGTAGTCACAGATTGCATTTGGCTTGTTGAGTTACCAAACAGTCCTCAAAAAATCGGATAAAAACCTGATTTTTAGCAATTATTTTAGTGGACGACACAGCATTGCGTCATCACCGAGATTACCGACAGTAAACTGATGACGCAGCATTGCGTCATCCCCGGACGAAAGTGTTAAGTGTAGTTACAGGATGAGAGCTACGCTTGTCGTGTCCCATCTTCCCAGCACTGTCATATAACGCTTTGAAATTACTGACAGTTTTGGCCTCCACCACCTTCTCACCTAACTTGTTCCAACCATCTACCACTGTTTGCGAAAGTGAATTTTCTTATTTCTTCAGCTGCTTTGTTCATAGTTTAAATCTGACATTATTCTTGAAGTTCCAGGTCTCAGGAATTCTCCCCCTATCAATTTTATTGATTCCCATTACTATTTTGTTCGTAGTGATCATATTGCCTCTCTTTCTTCTATCTTCTAGTTAAAGCATATGTAATGCCTCTAACCTCTCCTCGTAGCTCTTGTCTTTCAGTTCTGGGAGCCACTTAGTGGCATGTCTTCCCACCTTTTCCAGTTTGTTAATGTGCCTCTTAAGATATGGGCACCATACAACTGCTGCATATTCCAGCTTTGGTCTAACAAAAGTTGCGAACAATTTCTTTAGTATTTTGCCATCCATGTACTTTATTTAAAAACAATTCTGCAGTTAGAAAGTGTAGCATAGGCTCCTCGCACAATGTTCTCTGTAGTCCTTAGGTGATAGTTTTCTATCTAGCACCACCCCTAGATCTCTCTCAGAATTCTTTAAAGATTTCTCACATAATTTATAGATTGTGTTTGGTCTATGTTCTATTCCACATTCTATAACATGGCATTTATTCACACTAAATTTCATTTGCCAAGTAGTGCTCCATACACTTATTTTGTCCAGGTCTTCTTGAAGGGCATGACAATCATCTAAGTTTCTTATCTTCCTCATTATCTTGGCATAATCAGCAAGCATGTTCAAATAATTCAGTATTCCACCTGGTAGATCATTTATGTAGACAATGAACATTACCGGTGCAAGAACTGAACCCTGTGCTTCAGAGTGGCAATGTTCACAAGTGTGAATGCCACTTGCGGCATTCCTCCGAGCTGATACATTGCCTTAGACTACCGCCCTCATTTTTGTCAGAAAATTTTTCATCCATCTTAGCTTATTGTCACTCCTCCAATATGTTCGTTTCCAGAACAACCTCTTGTGTGGAACTCTGTCGAAAGCCTTTTTTAGGTCCAGATAAATGCAGCCAACCCAACCATCTCATTCCTGTAAAATCTGTGGCTTGATCATAGAAACTGAGTAAATTTGTTACACAGATCTTCCAGATTGAAAACCATACTGCCTATCTGTCATTTTTTTCTCTTGGTGTTCTACCCATTTAGTTTGTTTTCCAATATTTTGATTATTACACTTGTCAATGATATAGGTCTATAATTGAGGGGGCTCTTACCTGATGCCACTTTTGTAGATTGGAATTATGTTAGCCCTTTAACTCAAATCTGCTAGGACTACTTCCTGTACTCAGGGATGCCTGAAAAATCAGTTGAAGTGGAAAGCTGAGCTCAGGTGCACATTCTCTCAGAACCTATGGTGAGACTCCATCTGGGCCAACTGTTTTGTTCTTTCTTAGCTCCTCGAGTTTTTTTTTTTCTCCAATATTTGTCTGTAGTGATGCATCAATGTCATTGAAAAGGTTAAGGCAATGGCTTACTGCAGCTTGATTTGGGCGAGTCATTTCAGCAAAAGTTTGCAGTTCTTCCCATGCTGCACACACTTTCATAATAAATGAGGAAGGGACATGCTCTACATCACCAACCCTCATACCATTTTCATGTTTACGAATGATCTCTTGTTTTTCCTCTGTGGTCATCCTCACGTGTGTTTTCTTAGGTTGAACCTTACCACTGACTTTCTTGGGACCCATGGTGTAATGTACAATAATTACTTTTATTTTAAAAAAATCACCAAAATAATGGAATG